CCATACTGATCAACTCTCGGAAATTTTGGATGAATGGAGTTGAGAATAGCTGTATTTCTGGCAAATAAAGACCTGAGGTGGAAGAAAGTCTTTTTGTAAAATTAAGCGATTGGAAGGTTTGGATTAATGATAATCCCGAGAAACGATTGTGGCCACAAGCATGATGTCAAATGCGCGACGTGGGCCATCGGAGTTGATTTGCGGTTTGCATGAGTTTCAGAATTAATAAGAACGAATTGGCAGTGGGAAGTGCATATAAAAATAATCAATCACATAAGCGAAAAATACTGTACAGGAGGGTTACATCGATGCACGTATAGAAGATAGAGTGAAAGGATGTTCAAGGGCTTTCGAAGCAGTAATTCGCTGATGGGGATCAAAATAAAGCATTTCTTTGATAAGATCAAAGGATAGCCTTTTGTACATATCTGAGGAGGCGAACCATATGTCCGCAAGGGGTTTCACATGCTTACGGACATAACAACCGTCGGAGCCCTCAGGGTCCCAATCTAGTTTACATTTGTGAAAGTATCTGCGGCATCGGGATTTCCTTATCATGTTTCTAGGAAGGGGACCCAGGAAGCGTTCCATCATTGCTAAGTGTTGCAAATTATCGTGAGTCATAAATAGACAATCGCCAGTGACAAGCTCATATATAATACAACCTATTGACCAAACATCGGCGGGGAAGGACCAACCAAGTTCAAGTACAACTTCTGGGGCTCTGTAATGCCTGGTCTGTATGATGGTCGGATGGTGTTCATTATCGTAGGTGGCGGATCCAAAGTCAATCACCTTGATAGTTGAATCTCTGACGACACGTAAGGGTCGACCCAGCTTGTCATCATAGATCTCGTCGTAAGCATCATTAACGAATAAAATATTTTCGGGTTTAATATCAGTATGGGCAAGACGACATGAGTGCATAAAGTTAACAGCATCGCAGAGCTGGGCGGATATACTTGCAACCTGTTCAATTGGATATGGGGCGTACTCATTTGCTTCGAGAAACTGAAAAACACTTGAGCCTAGAAGAGGAAAGGATATAAAATAACTGCCGCGCCAATCGAAAAAATCTAAGACGTTAATGCAGTTTGAGGATCCTGTCTTGTCTAGCTTCGCAAGATTAACTAAAACCTCAAGCTCATGGGCGGCGGCAACCTTGTGATCATCCAATCTTTTAAGGACTTTGACGGCAACTAACTTTTGTGTGTGAAGGTCGATGCAGTCCAAAACTTGGCCAAAGCTCCCCTCACCTAGAATCTTACGGACTTCGTAACGTCGTTTGATTGTATCACCAATGGGCACAACAGCCAGCTCCTTCCTCCAGTGCTTGGCGTGACTCTCTTTCCTCCTGTCCCGCTCCACGAGCCGCTTATACTCCCTCTTTTCGCGCCTATCAGCTCTATGACGGTCGCGCTGAAGGTCGCCCGAATCAGCCCTTGGATGGTGCTGTTGTACATGATGGGACTGTTCAGCATAGCCATTCCGGCC